TGAGAGAGATTTGGGAGAGATTTCACATACTTGGAGAGATTTGGGAGAGATTTGTCATAGAGAGAGATAGAGTGAAAACAATTGAGAGAGGTTCCATGTGTGACAATTTTGAGTGTTTGGCCCCGCAATGCAAGGTTCTTGAGCCCCGTTAAGTCATGATTAAGGATCCTACACACTCCCGATGAGTATGTAACATGGTTTTTATCAGTTTAGTTCATTGATTAGCACTAAGGCCTAGGAAATTTTAACACAAGACTTTTCCCAAGTGATGTTTTCCCATTAATATAGCAAGTTATACAGTATGAACATAACACAAACCCTAATACATAAGGTTTAATCGAGTTGACCGGTTTGACTTGATGACTTGACTTGACTCAAGATTGACGATTGTCACACACGATGTGACAATCGTCAGTCTAGAGTCAAGTTAAGTCATCAAGTCAAACTGGTCAACTCGATTAAACCTTGTGTATTAGGGTTTGTGTTATGTTCATACTGTATAACTTGTTATATTAATGGGAAAAAATCACTTGGGAAAAGCCCTTGTGTTAAAATTTCCTGAGCCTTAGTGCTAATCAATGAATTAAACTGATAAAACAATGTTGCATACTCATCGGGAGTGTGTAAGATCCTTAAACAAGGCTTAACAAGGTTTACGGACCTTGCATTGCGAAGCCGGACACTCACATATGTCACACACGAAACCTCTCTCAATCGTTTTCACTCTATCTCTTCTTATCAAGAATCTCTCCTAAATCTCTCTAAGAATGTCAAATCTCTCCCAAATCTCTCTAAGAATATCAAATCTCTCCCAAATCTCTCTAAGAATGGAAAATCTCTCCCAAATATCTCTTCGTATGAGAAATCTCTCAAAGTATGTGAAATCTCTCCCAAATATCTCTTTGTATGAGAAATCTCTCCAAGTGTGTGAAATCTCTCCCAAATCTCTCTCAAAAGTTTCCGTAGCTTTTTGAAATCATTTGGGTCATTCCGACCCTTAACCGGGTCAAAAACGGCTTAAAACGGAGTAAAAACGAGTAAAATAGGCTTAAGGACCCGAAACCCTCTTATAAGAGGCGAAACCTCTTAGAACCGAACTTTCTAAGAACCGAAACCAGGAGGACCGAAACTAGGAGGCCCGAACCCGAAGGTCCTCTCAGGGTCGAACCTCGCCCAGGAGGAACCGAACCCGAAAGGTCCCCTCAGGGCTGAACCTCGCCCAGGAAGAACCGAACCCGAAAGGTCCTCTCAGGACCGAACCTCGCGCACCACCCGAACCCGAAGGTACTGTTCATTTCGGGTCTGACCCCCTTCGGTCTATTTCGTTTCATGACTTCGGACCGAACCTCTCGCCTTCGCCTCTCACTTCCGGTTCGCTCCTTTCACTTCCTGCTCCTGCTCGGCATCAGCAAGGACCGAGTCTCGGCCTAGGGACCGAACCTCGGCCTAGGACCGAGAGGTCTCGCTGGAAACTCTTTTTCTCCCGGTTTTCGCGTAGTTTTGCGTTTAAGGCCCGTTTTTAATTATTTTAACGCGGGATTTTCACCCAAAATTATATTTAACATAATGAACCCTAAATATTCACAATTTAATCATATTTTCATGAAAATCTTTATTTAAATAATAAAAGTTAGTGGGTAAAGTACAAAGAGGTGGAGTGTTGACTTTGCCTTAACTTATGTCACAAACAACCACCCCACACCCACTCTATGACCAGCCATACCTCCCCACCTTACCTAGGTCACTTAAATGTCCCTTACACTCAATTTCCACTCATTCCCACGTTTTTAGAGCTGGAACAAAACACCCTCTCTCCTCATTTCTCTTATTTGCTCTCATTTCACTAAGTATCAAACACCACTTTTCTCTCAAACTTTTTCTCCACCAAATTCGAGATTCAAGGCTGATTTTCAAGTGTTCTTCCACTCTTAGTAAGTATAACTCATCCTCCTTATGGTTATTTCACTTCATTCTACTCAAATCATTGATTGCTTACACAAACTCCATAACTATGATGTTAGATTCTCGAAAATCTTCAAGGCATCTCCAAGTGTTCTTGAGTTAAACACTTCCATTCTTCAACAATCATCTACTGAAATCACTTAAGATGAGTTCATACCCTACATTTTCATGTTTTCTCAAGTTTTTAGGGGGTGGGGGGGGGGGGATACAAGTTAAAACACCAAAAACATAACTAAACTTTTCTAACAGCCTTCATCAGGAAAGTTCAACTCCATTCACGGACTGTTTTGGGCAACTCAAACATTTTTGTTTTCAAAACTGTATGAGGTGCAGATAGTTCAAGTTCTTAGCTTTAAAATGACTACTTGCATATCTCCATACGATTTTTCTACAATTTATGGTGATTTTTATAAAACTGCCTATCATTTCAAACAACAATCCGGACTAGTCTGTGATTATGGACTTATTCACCCAAGTTGGAGGTCATTAAAAATAGTGATAAAAAATATGAGTAAAATAGACACATTTTGTGAACTCTCAGAATTTACGGATCTAGTTTTCGACTTCGTATGATTTTTCTATGATTTTTCCAAAACAGTACAGAATGGCTAAAGTTAGCCAACAACATGTAAATATCATAACACCTTGTATTATGTTGAGCAAAGTGTATAATCATAAGTTCTAATTATTTAATGTGTTTCTTTGTTAGTGTATCATCATGAACTGAAACTAGGTCATTCTTAATAAATATTATTCATTCATTTTAGAACACGTATATTAAACTATAAAAAAGTATAGTTTAATAAATTCAATACACTAATACATTTCCATAAAAGAGTTCTTACATATTACAAACGTTTTAGATAAACTATAATAGTTATAGTTTATGATATATTGCATAACACACTCGTACTAAAAGAGTACATTCATACAGAAAAGGTTTACACTCACACACATTATACGTAAACTTGTTACCCTAAATTGTAAGACATTCTCTCTTTCCGTACGTCCGAGTGCGGAATATAATTCCTGGTAGTTATAATCAGAGTCTCCTGGAGGGAGAACGTGATACTTGTATATAGATCTATATTGGGTTTGACACCCCACACCTTGCTGTTAGCTACAGTGGGACCTGCAGGTCTACGGGTGACAAATGTCATTTCATTTTCGCGATGCCTGAGAAACGTCGTGGCAGGTTCACATAGTCATAGTATGATTATAGCGACTCACATAGGGAGATAACAATTCATAAAGTTTACAGGATTTCATAAAACCTAAGTAGGTTTTAGGTTGATTTAAATTCACTTTTTATATCAATTCAAACTCATGACAATTCTACTAAGTAAGAATGATTTCTTATACATTTTGGTCTTTGGTTATAAAGCTACAATATACGGATTTCAAGGAAAATATCGGATTTTTCTGAAACAAACGCAACAATTACATGGGAAAGACTTCTATTAAGTTTTATAGCAAAAACTTATGAACTCACCAACCTTTGTGTTGACACTTTTCAAACAACTTGTATTCTCAGGAAATCACTAAACAGATAATCAAGTGCTTTTGAGGATGGGACGTTAAGGCGTCAAACTTTTCATATTTTGTCAACATATTGTAATTGAATTTTGAAACATGTAATTCATACAAGTGATGTAACTTTTTCAATTATATATATGTTGGTTGTGTTTGCTTAAATTACTATTGAAATTGTGGTTATGATACTATACATGAAGTCCTCCAACCCCGGACGTTTCCGCCATCCTTGGTTTGGGGGTGTGACACATACAACACATACGCCACTCGAGGCTACTGTACGAACCTCCGGTCGATGTGTCTCAGCGGGACCCTCCGGTCCCGTAACTCGTTGGACCCTCTGGTCCGGTCATAGCTCGTTGGGCCCTCCAGCCCGATCTTTCTCGTTGGACCCTCCGGTCTATACAATTCAAAAAAATCCTAATATTTTGACCAAACAAACGAAAATAGACAGAATACCTGTTCAATCTGCAAAACCGGTTAAAAAGGAATTTTTCAAAGTTTTAGCCAGTATTCCATGCTTTTTTGTAAACAAAATTTAGTTTGAGATTTTTTTTTTCATAAATTGGACTAAAATATTAAAACTTTTTTGAAGAATTCCTATAATTTTATATTAATGAACATGATGATACAAGATGTTATAATTATACTCGCATATTTGAAATAATTTATTTATTTTTATACTTGGAATGTATATAAAATACCATTTCATTGAGTGTTTTCCTTTATTTCATTCAAATTATTTAAAAGAGAAATTATCAGAAAAGTTTCAATATTTTCTTCACCAATAACTGGTGAAGAAAATAAGGGAGATTGTATCTATTATGTTTTTTTTTTTGAGTATAGCTTATGAACTTAAATTCCATTTTTCAACCCCCTATGAAATCCATAAGAGATTAGGACAATGTATAAACCTTAATAGTGTGTACGATGTAAATGGAACGAGAGAAAAGGAAAACGTCATGATTCGTAGGAATATATGAGTTTTAGTGTTTAAAGTGCATAATATATGATATTTATTATTCATAACCGATGTATAGATAGTAATAACCCTTGAATTGTATCTAAATAAACATCGCCTGAAAAATTTGATGTTATTGCCATTAATTGTTGCAACCAACCGATATGTTCAATAAATAGTTGAATGGATAGATTTAGAGTAGTAAAAGATTCATCATAAATGCCAACTCAAACCCAAAACCAGCTAGAAGAAATGATCTGTAAAAATGATATATTTTAATTAGTAATTAAGCATAACGAGTTAATGTGTACTATTGAGTGATATTGATCTTTCGTAAACATTAGGTGTAGTTGGTTACCGACACGAATATACTATATGATTTAAACAAAAAGACAAGTTTAATGGTTAACAATGCACCATAAAAAATAAAGTGACCAAAAATATATATAAAAATGTAGTTGATTACAATCTCAAGTCATTATCCTTCTATATTGGTTGCCCTGCCCGTGTATATTAACCCAATATTTTCAAACGGGCAAGTCAAATGGGCTATGTTTTCACCGAACGGCGTCGTTCCGTTGTTTCTTCGATTAATAACATTAGAGACCACCGTCCACCACCATGTCCCTCCTCTGGCCACTGTCCAGTGTCCACCGTAACGTATGTCGAAACTTCTCCGGTTGTCAGTCTTATAGAAGTCATCTCCCAAACAAGCAGAGGAAGTTCAGACCATAAAACTTTCTGTTAATCTTTATCTCACTTCAACTTACCCAATTTCGTTCAACGGTTTCCACACGCTACCTTTCCTTTCAAAGCCCTAAATGTTCCCTCAAGTTTCTTGCCTTCTTCCTTATCGGACGTATTCGACGCTCGTTCATCATTAGGTTGGTCTTTAATCTTTTTCATGTTGGCATTTTCAAGCTCTAAAATTAAGTTGCTGTTGTTGTGTTGTCGATTGTCACTCTTCACTTAGGGGTTTGCCATGGTGCGCTGTAACAATTTGGGCAAAAAGTTTGATAATTTTTGCTTGTTTGACGATTTCAACAGTTAATGGAAACTTGTGACTGATTGCCATATTTGTTCAAACTAAACTAATTTTACAATTCTGTCGTGTTTATATGATAATCAATTGACGTTTCTGTAACGGAAAATCACATGCTTCAATCTTTATCGTGAAATTGTTTTTGGTTAGAGACACAAGTTCAGATTATTAGGGTTTTCCCTTCACCTATTCTCTTTAAAGTTTAAAGCAACTTAACTACTTTCATCTGTTTGTACCTTACAATAAGAAACAAGCAATCAAACATGACCCATGTTCAATATCTGATATCTGTCTATTTCAGTGGTTATTCATTCAGATTACAAGAATTAATCTAAGATTGTTTTTGTTGTGAAGGTAGATTGTCTTTCAGAAGTTTTCTTATTATCATTAGCTGGAAAGAGCTCTGTTAGAAATAATGGGAAGTACATTTAATCCACAAATATTGATGGAGAAGCTGGCTAAGCTCAATAGCTCACAGCAGAGCATTGAGAGTATCCTACTTAAATGTATTTGCACAAATATATTTGTCTTAATATTCATAATTGTTATATAAGTTTTTTAGTTACCTGGTGGAGTTTTTTTAGTGAGAATTAATAGTTGCTCAATGAGGGCCTATGGAAGAGGAATTTAGAACAAGATATTTTTTCATTTTCTGGTCTTCTTTCCTACATTATCTACTTTAAAGTTTCATTATCTTGGAAAACTTAAAAAGGGTTTCCCTAGGGTTTAGGGTTTAAGGTTTAGGAAAGGAATGAACAAAAAACAAGCAAGGTAATGGAATTAGTCATTACACTTCACTATTTTTGAAAAATAACAAAAGATACTTGAATTGAAGTTTTGAAATTTATTAAAGAGTAAATTACACGAATGGTCCCTATGGTTTAGGGTAATTTGTGTGTTCGGTCCCAAACTTATTTTTTTAACTCGGAAGGTCCCTACTGTTTGTTTTTGTTATGCACTTGGTCCCTGTCTTACCTAAAAAAGACTATTTTGTCATTGATTTTTTAATTTATTTAAAAAAGCACACCCCCAATCCCACCCCTCACCTTACCTTACCTACCCCACCATTTTTCCCTATTTAAATAATAGTCTTGTTAGGTAAAACAGGGACCAAACGCATAACAAAAACAAATAGTAGGGACCTTCCGAGTTAAAAAAATAAGTCAGGGACCAAACACACAAATTACCTGAAACCATAGGGACCATTCTTTTAGTTTACTCTTTATTAAAAGCATTGTTGTTAAAGATAATCTATTTTAATTACTTATAATTATAAAATATCATTTCATCTCATCAAAGAATGAAAAAAAACACCAAGCGCCATGTAACGAAAATCATCTGGGTAAAAGGAATCACATTTCGTGAGGAATGTTTCATACCAAACACTACCTTTTGTTGATCAAGGAGGATGGAATTGGAAAAGAATGAAATTGTGATGTTTTCCTTAATAATGAATGACATAAAGCTTTGTCACATTGGTGTATATTTCACATGAACAAGGCAAAACAAGTTGTTGAAACATGGGAAAAACAATTCCGATGTTCCCCACGTGATCAACGCGTAGCTTTTTTATATCTTGCAAATGATATACTGCAAAATAGTAGGCGAAAGGGTTCCGAGTTTGTTGGAGAGTTCTGGAAAGTTCTTCCGGATGCACTTCATGATGTCATGGATAACACCGATGATTCCGGAAAAAACGCGGCTTTACGCCTGGTATGTTGCTTTACTTTTATGCTCATGTTTCACAAAATTTAAATGCCTTTTTTTTTTGTTTTTAAATATAAATTTACTTAATGGGTTATGGGTTATGTAATATGTAATCACTTAATATGGAGTGGAGAGCCATATATGGTTGTTTCTTTTTTACTTATTTTGGACAAAATGACTTAATGGGTTAAGCCAAAAAATCCGGCTTAATATTTGGATACTTACCCTTTAGTCCTTTATGTATTTGGTCTTAGTTCTTTCTTCCTCCCAACTCCTATCATGTTCCCCATTTGTGGTTTTAAGAATGCTAATTTTTGAACTGTTTTCTTGTACATTTTTGAATAATAAAAACAGTATTAATCATATACTCATATTTTTACCATTGTATCTGATTAATACTGTTTTCTTTTTTTCAAATATGTAAAAGAAAACAGTTTAAAAATTAGCATTCTTAAAGTCACGAGGGGGGAACATGATGGGAGTTGGGAGGAAAAAAGAACTAAGAGGAAATTGTATTGATAAATTAAATAATAAGATTATAAAATATTTAACTAACTAATAAGATGATAAAAATGTGAATTTTTTTTAATAAAATATTCAACTTTGAATTACATAATTTTCAACAATTAAAAAAGTTATTGTTGGTAATTAGTTTTAAAACTGAAGTCATTTATGATCAAAGCTAATTCAAAACCTTCTTAACTCAACATATTAGATAGAGTTGAGAATTTTGCTCAATCAAAACAATTCTCAACTATTATGTTTGGTTTAAAATATCATTAATGTTATTATACAATCTCGGGTTCAATTTGAGTTACTAATCATATTTTGATTGAATATAAGAACATTTGCATTATAATTTATAGAAAATAGTATGCGACCCTAAACAGTTCCCAAAAACAATCATTTGTATACGGAAGGGTAAAATGGTCATTTACCAAGATTCAGATAGTTCTTCCGGTCTAAAAATGAAATAGTCTATATGTATACATCACTTCATCCACACATACAACATTACCAATTCAACCACTTTATCCATACAGGACTTGATAAAAAATAAGAATCAAGCCCTAAAATTGATATTTCTTTTTCTATTTTCTATTTTCTATTTTCATATTTTCATTTGCCTACAAGCAGATAAAAATTTGGGAAGAAAGAAAAGTTTTTGGGTCACAGGGGCAAATTCTGAAAGAGCTTGTTGGAAGGCATGTAGAAAGTAGTAACAGAAATGAGAAGCACACGGGGTTAAAATTGGTATTTTGCAAGTTCCTCTCTTCCTCCGTGTTTCTGTATAAATATTTTGTTCTTTTTTATGTTTGAGGATAAGATTTCTTGTTTATTCGTATGTGGTCAGCAACAGTCAGCTGGAAATGCATTGGATAAGATAGTGTCAGGGTATCAAATCATTTATGGAGGTCAACTTGATGAAGATGCTACGATTAGCAAATGCAAAAATACTATCACCTGCATTGAAAAAGTGGAGCAAGGAATTGGTGGTGATGTTAGATCTGGTATGTTCTTCAAATGCATGTTAAAAAGTGGTTAGATTACTCAATTTCCCTTTATAATTTATGGTTTGACCTTTGTAAGATAGTGCCATGTTAGGAATTGGTGAATGATTTAATCACATATGTGATATGAACCGAAACAGATGATGCACGTAACCAATGAAAAGCAAGCTATCATCATAATTGATGAGAAAACTAAAGGCCCTATATTTTACAGCAACCTAGTTTAAAAGATAAATCAAATTTGAAATAAAATAAAAGATAACTCGTCTTCGGCTACTAACAAAATTTGGAGCATTCTATCGATGCATTGATGCTCCCTTTCATCACATTGGAAACATAATCCTTTTTCCTTTTGTCTTCATCAGCCTTCAAAATTGCCCCCTAAGTTGGCCACTAGAAGTAACATTAGTATCCACCAGCCCCTTTCCATGATCGTGAAAGACTCATACTTACTTGGTTTTCATCTCACATGATAGCTATCCTCATAGCATGAGTTAGGCTTTTTGGTTCTAGTGATTTGGTCTGAATATATATATATATATATATATATATATATATATATATATATATTATATATATATATATTGTTTTGGTAGTTTGATCATATTTACACGAAAACGGGATCGAGGATCGGTAATATATAAAATTCGGTACAAGGGGGGTAGTCTTCTCCAGAACGCTATTTCGGTATGTACCATGTAATGTGGTATAACGTATCATATATTACTAACATATATAATAATATAAATATAAAAGCATACTAAATGTAGAATTGATGAATTAGGATCGTTAAAATTTAAAATATGGTGATAAAAAAAGATTGGGTAATTGATTTTGGATTCTCCATACGTAATGACTAATGATCATGCCTTTTTTTTAGCCATTTGGGTTCCTAAAATTTGGAGCAAATGTTTCACCTGCTCATGCCTTTTTTTTTTTTTTTATTTTTTATTTTTTTTATTTTTTAATATAATTATTTTTAACCTGCATTTTTCCACAATCGTGTTCCAGAAATTAATGGGTCGTCGGATTCGACCTCTCGAATCGCGTTCCACACTGATATAGGATCGAAATTTAAGCAACTCGGGATCATCCTATTATGCGATTGGATCGCGATTTATTATGTGATTTGATCGTTATTGTTCCCGTTTCTGGAACGTGCGACCCGGAACGAAAAATGTGGGATGGGGAGCGATCCTAGTATCTTTGAGTTTGATAATATTTATAAAATATTCAAATAGTTGCACAAGTTTGTAGACAAATTTGGAAATGCGTTCTTTCTTTGCACTAATCTTTGTACCTAATTGTTTGATGGTGTGGCCTCGACCAACGTTCACTGTTGGAGGCCATCTTCTACACTCTCTTATCCTGCCAAAGAATGTATTAAGCATGATTTTGATGATGTTAGATGGAAGCCTAAGTCTCAACTATGCCCCTACATACAAGTGAAGGATTCGTAGTCGTCAAAAAACAAGTGATGAAAATGAAATAGCAAAGAAATTTCGTCGAAACACATTAGATAAAGAATTAAGAGAAGTTGAGAGTGAATTATAAAAGTTGCAAAGTCGTTGAATGAAATAAATAATATTGATGATGAGATGATTGTTTATATGGAGAAGTTGGGAAAAAAATGGTGTGGGAGAATTTGATCCAAAATAGGAAACGACTCTTTTGCTACTAGGTGAAAGTGTTAGAAATTAGAAAAGTTTGGTTACACCTTGAGCTATCGTGTTGCAAGTCGTGGGTGAGAAATGCGAGAAGAAAGTTTAGAGTATTCAGATTGCTTTTGGATTTTTTTGTATCACTTGATTTACTTTTAGATGTGTTTTGTCTGACTTTCACAATCTATTTTGGATGACTTTTAAATCCATAATGTTCAAAAGTAATCCAAAAATAACCGTATCATATAACATATAAATCCATAACATAAAATTTAAAAGTCATACCAAAAAAATCTTGAAAGTCATATAGAAGTCATCTAAAAGTCAATGAAATTTAACTTGGAAAGTTAACAAATATCATCCAGAAGAGATCTTGAAAGTTATACAAAAGTCATCTAAAACTAAACCCAAATTCATGCAAAAAAAAAAAAAATAATAATAAATAAAGATCCAAAAGCAATCCATATGATCCAAACTTCATTTTTGCATTTTTCACCCACGATTCCAACATGACGGCTCAAGGTGTAACCAAACTTTTTCTAATACCGACACTTCCTCTGAAAGCAAAAAGAGTCATTTCGTCTTTCGGATCAGATTCTCCCGCTACATTTTTTCCAACTTTGTCAATATTTTTTTCTACTAAGAACTTCACAACTTTGATAATTTCATTCCAACTTCGTTTTCCTCACTTGTTTTCTATCGACCAAATGATTTTTCACTTACATATAGGGGCTTTGTTGAGGCTTGGGTTTCCATATGAATGCACTTAACATTATCTAAATCATGCTTAGTAAGTTCTTCGGCGGGATGAGGGAGTGTAGAAGATGGCCCCCTAACTGTGATCGCACTTGTCAAGGTCGCCCCATCAAATAATTGGGAACAAAGATCATGGCAAAGGATGAACACATTTCTCAATTTGTCTACAAACTTGTTTAACTGTTTGAAAAATTATAAATATTATCAAGCTATTAAAACAAAATAATCGTATTTAATAAAAAGGTTACCTTCGTCTTTGAATACCACCATTCATTAGTCATATTGGAAGTGTTGTAGGATTATAAAATTTCTCGATTTTGTTTTTCAGTTTCAACCAAACAACTTACTTTGCTTTTAAGTAGTCAACAGAGATTTTTCCTTTGTTTTGGTCAAGTATAAAAATTATGTCCGTATTTTATTTTTTATGCTACTACTTTCCATGAGCTTCCTTTTAAGCCATTGCCTTCTCAACCATTGTTACTAGTTCATGTATGGATTATTTGAGAAAAGTTTTATTCACACATTCCAACTTCCAACTAACTCTAGGTCTCTATTCTATCATATATAGAATAAAAGATTCAATAAAAACTAGTTAGTTTTCAAGTACTGCTACTTTCAAAAAATAAAAATTAACCAAACAACAATGTTTAATAATTCATGTAGCTAATACTCAATCAACCAATTAACCAAATCAACAATGTTTAATACTTCATGTAGCTCAAACACCAATCAACCAGTTAGCCAAATCACAAATGTTTAATAATTTCATGTAGCAAAAATTAACCAAACAACAAATTTTTTGCTAATACCCTATCACCAATCAACAATCAAATTCATGCAGATTCATGTATTTGGAACAATCAACCAAAACAAATACAATGAAAGGCAAAAGGTATGCAGTCTGTGGACAACATCTGCAGACCTATGCAGTAGAAGAGGTGGACCAAATGTCTTCAGACTGCAATAAAAAGACTGTTTGTTTTTTAACGTCTGCATGCTATTAAAGTAAACTGAAGTTTAAATAAACTGATTTTTTAAACATAAAAAATATCACGACAAACTAAATTTTTCATTAACTCTAACTTAAACACCTATGTAAAACATACAACTAATTCATGAATATAAAACATACAACCGATTTACATGTTTTTATGAGCATTTTCTCCATTTTACCCATTTGACCCATGTCTTTCACTTTAAACTTTCCATACACAATCGATATGAATATACAATATCCTATCTTAGAATTCGTGTGACATTGTATTGATTTTTCTGTCTTTGTTTTTTTTTTTTCTGTCCCCCTTCCAAATGGGAAAAAAATCAGCTCAAGTTAATGGGTTGGGTGTTGTGGAAGTGCTCAAGGGGCATCATGCTACATTGAGAGATTGCATTGAGCAACTATCATCTGTAGAATCATCTAGAATTAATCTTGTTTCTTATCTGCGAGAGGCTCTTCAGGAGCAGGTATATTCGTATCCAAAATCTCTGTTCCTTTTGAATTTTTACAAGGGCTAAATGCAAAAAAATACCCTAAAACTTTCATTTATTTGTCAATACAACATTGTATTTTCAGTTCTTTTCTTATTTAGACATCGTGCTTTGAACAATCTAAACCAAATGTCCTATGAAAAATCTACCCAATTTTAGAAATAGAATGCTGTAATAATCAAATATCTGAAAGTACGTTGCTTTTTCTTGCACTTTACCCTTTTTTATAGAGTTTAGGGTGTTTCTGAGAGAGGAATGCTGTGGTTTTCTTGTTTTCAGGAAATGAAGCTGGATCAAGTCCGAAATGAACTCAAGGTACAATCTATATATATATATATATATATATATATATATATATTTGTATGCAAATTGGTCTTTAATTAGTGATTATTGGTGCTTTCTTCTAAATCATAATCAGATCCCAAAATTTGAAGCCTTTTGACACGTTCATGAAGATTGCACATACATGATATTACCAGAATTTGTAGAAACAGAAACTTTTAGTTAATTGATTTAAGACTAAATTACAGATTTGGTCCCTGTGCTCAAGAAAGGAATCTGTTTGCAATTTTGGTTCTTATTTTATGGTTTATAACACTGTTGATTTCATCTTCTTCCTCAACAAAATCAAAATTCAACCACCAAAATTGCAAAAAGACCACATTTTAGACCTAAACCTAAAAAAGAGAAAAAGCTCAGGGACAAAATTGCAAAAATTGCAAAAATGGTTCCTGTGGGTTATCATTTTCTCTGGGTAAATAAATTAAAACTGATAAAAGAAAATTGAAAAATAATAATATAAAGGGCAGATTAGTCATTTAAAGTTTGACAGGGACCAAATATGCAACAAAAACCTGCGAAAGGACCATATCTACAATTTTGACATGGTTTGGACTTTATCCAAAGAAAATGACAAACCACAGGGACCATTTTTGCAAATTTGTCAATATTATTACATGACTTGTTCTTGAAAATATATTTTGCATGTTTTTGTCCTTGTCTGTAACTTATCTGCCCTGTGGTTCACCCCATGTAAATGACAAGGGTAAATTTGTCTTTTTACACGCTGGACTTTTAAGTTAGACCCTCGATGAGGTCGAGGACAATATCGATAATTTCTACTATCCCATATACGTGAATTTCATTAATTTCTTTTTATTATAATTGTTATATACTTATTTAAGTAAGTTCACCCTATTTTCATGTTTTCAGGCTGCACATAAACAATCAGAAAAAACCGATAATTTCTGCCGCCAGTTAATGAATCCCAGTGCCACCAAATTACTCCCGGAGCAGACCACAACCACCACCACCAAACCCCACAATTACATTCCTGGAACCGGAGAACAGTCTGCAGCGGTAATGTACACACACCAAGTTCCAATCACCGAGGAGGAAACCACCAAATCTGCCGCCGCCGAAGTGGCGGCAAAGCTCACCGCCTCCACATCATCCGCCGAGATGCTCTCTTACGTCCTCTCTTCCTTAGCATCCGAGGGCGTTATCGTAAATTCCACTCCAGAATCCTCCTCAAACAACCACCCTCCCGAAAAACGAGCCAAGATCGAGACAACCGACCACCACTACCAACCACCGCCACCATCATCTCCGCCACCTCTGCTACCTATGCCGCCAATGCAAGCTTACCCGCTGCCGCCGTTCATGGTGGCGGTACCGTATAACTATAACCAGCAAGCACCACCGCCTTTGCCGGGGTATCCCACCGTTGGGCCGCTAATCAACAGTGGCTCTTCATACACACCGGCGGTGGTGCCGCCACCACCTGGCGGTTACCAGAATTATCAAATGGAAGGTGGGTACACTAGCCAACCGATGGCACCGATGTCTAGACAGTAGAATTGACTTGGCGTATGTAATTGTAGTGTGATGTATCATAGGACACATGTAAACGTGTTGGATAGTGGTTGGAGAATTTGTTACATTAGAAGGTTGATTTTCGCATATTGTTTGTGTGTACAAATGTTGTATACTTGTAACTTGTAAGGATAGTTTTTGCTACTAGATCTTGAAGAAAATACCCGACTTATTAATTTATATTTACTTAAAATTACTTATTTTCTAAATTAAGTAGTGGAAAGTAGTTCTAATGTGGATTTTTTTTAATTGATATAAGGTTATTGACAACATGACATGTTGGACAAAATCTATTTTGCAGAAGTTAAATATAAAAAAGTACAAATAAAGTATTGAATTAAAAGTTGTGAAAAGTGAGCATGGTGTGTAGAACTTTTTACCCGTGACATGAGCACAGCCAAAATACAACCAAAAGACAAAGAAAGAGGAATTAACGATGCTTTTTGACCACAGCCGCCCGAAGACATTGCTTTTTACGACTATAGTCTGTTGTACTCTCATAAACCAAAAGAAAAATAAAACAATAACAAAATATATTTTGATCATAAAATATAAATAGATTGGATTAAAATGGTTTTTGTATGAGTAAAAACATTTTAGATGTATTATGCATGTCGATATACCTTGGGTAACTTTCAACTTAGGGATAGCAAACCTTACCAACATGTTTATCAGTTAGTTATCAGACCCACAAACCATAAATGACCTTAACGCCTCGTTCCCGAGTTTAACAAAAGAAAAGAAGAGAAGAGAAAAGAAAGTGACGAGAGAAAAGAAGAGAAAGGAAAGGAAAACAAAATTTTCTTTAGTGTTCCCGAGTTGGAGAGAAGCGGAAGGAAAATGAATCATTTTGTTCTTTCTTTCCAAATCCTTCCAAATCAGAAGGAAAGTTAGGAGAGAAAGTAATCCTCTCATTTCCCTCCATTTCCTTCCACTTCCCTCCTTTAATGAAACTCGGGAACACCAATTTCTTTTATTTTCTTCTCATTTCATTTCCTTTCTCTTGTTAAGTTGAACTTGGGAACGGGGTGTAAAGATGATGATGTTATGTGTTCTAATTATTAAATGAACTAAAAATAACTCAAATCAATGATCATAAACATGTTTTATATAAAATCATAAACGATTATATGGGTCTAATTATGATTCCTTTTGGAATATGATAAGAGCTTTAGCATTTTGGATATGAACTCCTGTAGTCTTGCAAAACGTAAAGCATGAAGTTTCCCCATTCAAGTGAGATTAACAAAAGAGATGCACACAAACGTTGAAGTCAAGGTTTAATCTAATGTCTTGAATGCAAGTTTTTGGTCAGAGATGACTGAAGCAACACATGTTAGTTTATCATGTATCAGGTTGGTTGGTCATGAGTGTCTCTTGTTGGTCATTTTAGTGTCACAATTTCATATTATGGTACTGGAACTAACATGTGAGCCAGAAGGCTTTATAATTTGTACTCTAATATATGTACGAGGATTGTGCGAAGTGCACACATGTATAAGATCGAATTAGAAACTGGTTCGATGACATGTCGGTGGTCCAGGGGGAACGCCCTTGGGTCTGGGGTTTCTAAAGGGGCGGCGCCCTTTTGGCGGGGTCTAGGGGTAGTGCCCCTAGCGGGGTCCAAAGGGCAGAGCCCCTGGCAGGGGTGATTATGGTAAAGCTGACAAAATTCGTCAGTTTTGGAAACCCTAAATCCTTATTAAAATCTGGATTACCCTGACTTGCTTGCAAAGGAACTGATGACGACTCAACCCTAATGAAACCCTAATCTCGTTTATTATATATAAACGACTCTTGCTTTTAGAAGAGACACACAAAATTGAGCTCATGTTTTTGTTCAAACACTCACATAATCTTTCTAGCAATTTGGCTTACGATTTCTGTGCCTAGAATCGTAAGTATCCTCTTAGATTATCCTAGGCTGAATTTTTTGTAACCCAGACATAAGGTAGAAATATCAGTTCGGAAAATGTTCAAACGATCCAAGTTGGTATCCATATCTCTACTACATGTAACACTCTGTTCCGAATTGACTCCTAGTCTGAGGCGGTGGCTTGAAGGTCGGTCATTATAAGGGTTATGATTCTTGGGAAGGTAAGATATAGGCCATTTTGGGTGCGGGTGATGTATTAGAAGTGATCCGGGTGTTTGGTTCGTGTTTTGGAGCCTAGGGGTATTTCGGTAAAGTGGCAGTTCGGGCTTTGGTGGAAAATGGATTTTTGTTCGGAAGGTCTTAAGAAAGGTTTGAGTTGTTAGAAGTGTAGGGATTCTTGTCACCTTTATGTGGATATAAGGATCGTCAGAATCGGACTTATAACGAAGAAGTTATGGCCTTCAGAAGTTTCGTGGTTTTTCAGGCTTAACCAAGTACGCAAGGCGTACTAGCAAAGAAGGTAGTATGCTGGGCATACCCCGGGAGTAAGTTGGGCGTACTGACCAGGAGGATCGTGAATGTTCCCCGGAGTACGCTGGGCGTACTCCAGTTAGATCAGAACCCTATTTTAGAGCCTTGGACCCTATTTAAACTCCTTATCTCATAACCTAACCCTAATATCTTCTGCGTCCATCCCTCTAAACCCTAGAAATCGACCCTTAGCCCCCATTTAAGTGATTTTAGAGCTTCAAAGTGATTTTTGGTGTGTTTTGGTGCTAGAGGAGGAAGAAGGAACTTCTTGAAGAGTTATTGTTTGACTTGGAGCTTTTGGATCCAAGCTTTGTACACCTAGATCTATCTTCTGGATGTATAAAGTCTCATCCTTGAAAACTTTTTCCATGTAGATCTAGCTAAGTGGTACATTGTTATGGTTTTGGTCCCTTTGAGGTAGTTCTTGTGAGTAGAAGTTACTCCAGAACCTTTGAGCCCCTTATTGTGTCCTTATTGAGGTTTTTGAGTCATAAAGTTTAGGTCTTGAGGGGTATAAACCTTCCATGCATGAATTGATACTCATTTAATCAAGTTTGGGACTTATGGTTTAGATTTAGGCCCCATTGAGTTATGCTAAGTCATAAAATTGGAAACTTTATGACTTAAGAAGTCCCTTGGAGTCAGATCTGGAAGCTTGGACTGAGGTCTTAAGGTATTAAGAAGTTTTAGGACATTTTGGGAGTGATTTTGACATTTTGGAATTCATCTTTGGTGTTTGGGCTTCACTAAGCCATGCAAAGGCTTAAAGCATTCGACTTTATGGATCAAGTCACTTATATTTAGCCATTTTTAGGTTTTGGAAATTTTGACTTAATGGATTAAGAGCTAAGATTGAGAGTTGGTCAACAGGAGGAGTACGTTGGGCGTACAAGCCCTTAAGCCAGTACGCTCCACGTACTCAACAAAATAGGATTTTGGTTTTTGGGCTTCGGTTTGGGCCATCAGGTTTTGGGTTGATATTTTATTTGTAGAGGCCCACTATGGTCTTGGGCCCAATTTTCCGATTGGGCCACAAGTGGTTTTTAGCATTTTGGGCGTAATTGTTTGGATTATTATTGGGCCATTAGATTATGAAGTGTATTGGACTTAAAAGAATAATTTGGGCATCATGGCAAGACCCATGTAGAGGTTCGGGCCCAATTTTGATGGATTCATGGACATTATAGTGCTGGGGTTTTATTTTGGGTTTGGGGATTGGTTTTGGATCATATTGGGCTAGGGGTAGGATGGTCATTCTACCCCATTCATGGATTAAGGATCATGGTATGGAACCGAATTGCTAATTAGGTATATTGGTTGGTATTGATAGCTCAGGAAGTGGACAGGGCAATAGCTAAAGATTTCTTTCAGGAAGCTTCTGCATTTGAGGTGAGTCTCCTCACCATACCAATGGGTCTAAGGCACCAAGGCCGTCCCATTTTATGTTATATAGTATGCTAGCCATTTTATGTTATGTAGTATGTTAGCCATTATGTGTTATGTGGTGTGCTAGATGTTTCTGTGATATGTGGTATGCTAGTTGACTATGTGTTACTTGCATGGAAGACCATGGGAGAGCCCATGGCAACTGGATGTAAGACTCTGAGGATGAGCCCACGACTTTCCTATTTAAGACCATGGGAGAGCCCATGTCACTTAGGTGTAAGAACATGTGGGGAGCCCATGACATCTTGGAGTAAGACCCTAGGGACGATCCCAAGACATCCATATCTGTTTATACGTATGGCTTATGTGATTGATAGGGCGTATGTGGCAGAGATAGCTTTTATAGCTGATACGATATATGTTATGTGGATTGTGTGTGGGGTATGCTCTGGGGAACTCACTAAGATTTGTGTTACGGTTTACAGTTTTGGTTTCATGTATCATCGATTTGGAAAAGAAGAGCTCAGATTGATCGCAGTGTACACACATATGATTTCCGTAATGAATGATTTTGGGATAAACTCTAATAAATGATTTAATTAACTATGATTTGGAATGTCTGAATTAAATGGTAACAATGTTTTAGTTATATTAAAAATGAAAATTTTACCCTTGATTTTTGGGTCGTTACAAGTTGGTATTAGAGCCTTGGTTTGTGGGATTTAGATATACCTTCGGGTGTGTCTGAACTCAAACTGAGGATTGTAATGTTTTCAAAAATTTTCCAAAGGAAATGTTTTCTAAGACAAGAAAGGGTGTGGTGCACGCAATCAACCGAGCTCAAGTAAGGTTCCCCAGAATACTCACATATGTTGTTTGTTATGATTTGGTTTATGAATTCGTAAATAGCATGCTAGTTAGGGCTAGGGGAGATGCCTTTATATGTTGTATGAGTTGGTAGACTTGCATGTTAGTGTTGAGCAGTCAGCAATAGGTTGGCCTGATATGTGGTGCTTGTAGCCCTGGGAATGTTTTATGCCATGCTGGAACGAGAATGATAATTGGTATTTGTAACTGCTAAGTGTATGTTTTTAAAATTATACACGGTTAGGATCTTATAGCCTTAGAATAATAGATTTGGCCTTATTTCTTATTCCTTGTTTGGTTGTGGTCCTAGGGTAGAGTCTAT